AATAGTCTTAAAAGTTATAACATTCTTCTTCTTCTGATTACTGAAGTTCACTTGGCGCACTTTCAGACTAACCTCAGCTTCCAAAACACCTGTTCAGTATTATGCATTGAAGCGCTTCGCTTACGTTGACTGAGATATCTCTCGAACACAAAGCACAATGAACAGTATTGAGTAATTATAGAACAATACAAACAGTTATTCATTGCAATAATACTCTACTAACTGGAGAAAGTAAACTAACCTTAGAGGTGGAAGCCTAGGTCTTACCGGTTACTTGACATTTCATCTTAAACTCCGAGCAAATATAAACCACTGATATAATTACCGTGATATTAGCGTTTACGTTGCTCAAGAAAATGATAATCAATAACATCTCAATCTCCTCATTATAGGGAAATTTTGAATGGAATCCCGAAAATCCATGTTGCGCATTTTTCCAGACAAACAGTTAATCACCAGTGCATTTTCAAACATTTTAAGATGAAATTACAATTAACAATAATAATTTTTAACATGACCATGAACCTCAGTCAGCATTACATTACCAATGTTTAGATTTTAATTTAGTATATAATCTTAGAAAATCATTCACAGAAGATCGAAATTGACGCACACAACGAAAGTCACTATGTTCGCAAACCTCGTAAAAACTAATTCCACTCCCACAATTCTCTCTGTATTTATAAAACATCTGTCTATTTCTTCTCATCATGCCCGGGGAAAACCCACTTCTTATGTTTTTGAACATGCTTTACTACTCAAACGCATTGTACGATATGCAAACGCGGATTGATCCACGATTGGAATAACAGAAACAATTATTATTATTGTAACCAATTGTACCAGAGATTGTTTTACTGTATTTGTTTAACTGTATCAGTTTCACTTCTTGTTTCGCTCTCCGCCTTGTTTGGTTCGAACTTGCTCACGCACTGCTCATTTTGCCTGTACTCTTTGGCACGTCTCGGTATTATTTCGATACCACGAGATCGCCAATAAATATACTTGATCTGGATTAATAAAGCTTTCTGATTTACGAGCTATTAAAGGAACCAAGTCGTTTTTGGGAGCCTAAACGAATTGTAGTGGTGATCATAGTCCGTCTTCGACTCGACATCCACTACAGATATCTTGCAAGTTTGAAAGTGCGCCAAGTGAACTTCAGTAATCAGAAGAAGAAGAATGTTATAACTTTTAAGACTATTCGTGCTGGTCAAATTCATATATAAAGTAAATTTTTGGATCTTGGTAACGGCACTAATAATCGTGTGGTCACTAAACCATCAAGTAAAAGATATATCAACGGACAAAGGATAGTTTGCACGAATCTATGTGCTCGTTCCTCAGGTGTAATATCATAACTTCGGTAAGAAGAACTAGTGATGACGTGAAAATAACCTGTAGGTCCTATAAGCACTGTAGGACCAATGAAATTTAGCCGATTACTGGACAAACCATCTGTCAGTTTGGTCACTCAATTTCGAACAGTTCATCGATCTCCGTCAAGGTCGAGAATAACCAACGCGCACCAGTCAATCTCACACAATGGATTGGCCCATGTCTTGGTGGTCACACTCTCGGTTGTACCTACTCCAAATATTATACTTCTGTAATAACGTCCTTTGTGTTATACGGTCTTTAAAACTGCAATATTATCTTAATACAACGGAGAAAAAAACCTCGTTAGGTGCTGGCCGCATAATGTAACTTCGAAGTTAGCTGTTGGTTACACGATTCCCTCAACCACTCAAAATAGATCATCTGCGTTAGAAATATGCAGTACGAAACACTGCGGCAAGTAGTTTGGATTTTTAGCCAGCTTTATCCCCTTGCACAGAGGAAGGTTTTGCTGTAGCTCAAAAAGATGCACTATGTCTGCGTGGAATACGAAAGCGGTGATTGAATGTCTTATGATTGACTGTGGCAAACCTTATGAGGTAGATAAGGACACTTGCGAGAGAAACTGCTGAGGATTTGAGACATGCCGGTATTGTGCATTCACATACCTATGTCAAAAGACAAACTCTTACAGCCAAGCTAGATCAATTACAAAATACAAACTACATATATAATCATACTCTCGGACAATGCGGGCGATGGAAGGTAGGTAACTAATTGTCACGACATGACGAGTCAGAAGAGACAATGATGTGACATCTACGTAAGATCAAATAGATTTATCGTCTCGTAACAATCCGCGATATTTCGTTTAGTGTTTGTAAAGAATACGTTTAAGCTGAAGATAGAATAATATACTTAATACGAGTAAAGATAAGGTACACACAACAACCACATCAGCAAGGCTAAGTCATGCCATCTGATTGATTTCAATTAATTCCTCCAACCTTGTCCATTATTCACCTTCTCTTTGTGTTAATTGTTCAAGATGAGTTTTCCTAGTTATCTCGTGTTCAACGTTGAGGGTTTTGTGCAAAGGACCAATACCACTACAAATTTACTGACAACAAACTAGACCGTAATCCTGCATACGCTCTCAAACTACTCAAATAATTGCGCTACGACAAATATCTGTTTCTTGACCACCAGTAACAAATAATTTACACTGGTGTTGGTGACACAGTAAATCTTGAAATCTCAGAAAACCGTACAATAACTGAGCTTCATAACATCCGACACGGAAAACCTTTCTGAAAACGTCCTAATCGGCTCGCGTTAACGGCATCTGTACCCTGTGAACAAAGCCGTCCTTTATATCTTACTAATGTGATGCATAAAAGTCGCTATTCCGTTAGCACTGGAGCAGAATTTAGCGTTTTCCTTCAAAATCCGACGACCGACTACACGAATCAACTTTCAACTTACAGAGAGCAAATGGAAGACAGATGTCCACATGCAGTAAGCGATATGTGTATTTTAAAGTGGGCTTACGCAAACGCATTCACTAGAACTTTGTTGTTGCAGATGTTTCTACGTCAACCATTTGTATAGTGTTTCTACAAAACTATAATTTACTCATCGACACGCGCGAACGGAGGTTAGTAAACGGAAACACCAAATTATCTGTATGTATGACTTCTTTTTCCGGTTGCAGATTATCTCCAGTCATAGTTGGACACACGATAGATCCATTCTATCAACAATTACTGTATAAGTACTTTGAGATATACCAAGCGCGACCGAAATTGCCGTGTGCAACCAGCCATGTTACACATCACATCACGATGACAGGACCGCCTGTATTCTCGAAAGCACGCTGACTGGCTTCCAAAAGCTGAGGTTGGCCAAAAACGAATTAGATCACTTGATAGATTTAGGAATCATTCGGCCATCATACTGCCCATGGGCATCTCTCTTGCACACAGTTCCTAAAAAGGTCAGTAAAGATTAGCGTTCAACTGGTGACTATCGGCTGTTGCATGGGGAAACTAACCATTCTCGATCGTTATCCGTTGCTCCATATTAACGATTTGACAGCTTCCTTGAACGGTACAACTGTCTTATCGAAAATCGACTTGGCTAGAACATGTAATCGAATTCACATGGCTGCTGACGATATTCCAAAAACCGCTATCATCACACCTTTTAAACTCTAAGAGTTTCTGCGCATGCATTACGGCTTAGGAAATACCGCACATATCTTACAGATATTCGCCGATGACGTTTCTCGAGGTCTCAGCTTTATACGTGCGTACGTTGAAAACTGCTTGATAACAAGTTCAGATATTGAATCTAGTCTCCAGCATGTAGATCCTGTTTTCAAAACGACTGCAAAAACACGGCATCACTGTAAACGTCTGGCTGCACTGACCGTTGAATCTTTCGTCAAATATGTAGGTATTAAAATGTTTTCATAAAAGCTTTAGCATACTTTTTCATAAAGATATTGGTTAGTGCCTTCGTTCAGTGTTTTGGATTTATAATCTCTTAATGGACTTTCTCTCTGTGAGCTTAATTAATCAATATTATGGTTAAATCAATTAGTATTCAACTACTAGATGAGGTGGTAGTATCACTAATCCCTTATATCTGAAATAGTGTGACTGAAGGTTGATGTGCACGAGTTTGTAGCTGGTAAACACGTTACACACTATTTATCTCTGGGTTCACGAGAATACTATTAAATAACTGCAATGATAGGTAATTATGGCTCATAAACATATCGAGGTGTGACATGGCTCAGAATCGTTCGCAAGTGCGCAGATATATTCACTTTTTATCTCCCTTTGAATCCGGAATCCAGAAATCTTGTTACATTTTTTCCTGCCATACATAACCTTTTCTACTACTGTAACTATTCATGCTACTCATTTACTTGTCTTGGCAATGCTATCTAATTGGACTAGTATAGTAAGACAACTTGCACCGATGCACTTATATGTCAGGTCCTACGTTCCATGTGATTGACTAAAACGTGTATTGAATAAGATAGTTGTGGTATTTTGTTAACTGAACTGTCGTCCACATACTTTAACAATAGGGCATTAGTGGGAAGAAAATAATTGTATCATCCCTTATTATGGGAATGCAGTGTACAACCGAAACTTAGCTAGCTCGTCAATTAATCTTCCCACTATCGAGTTCCTTCACCATAATAATATATGACTATTTGTAAGCCCGATTTCCATGAAAATGGTTCGTTGATGCCCTTACTGACTTTTGAGGTATTTACTGGTGACTGAATGTAAAATATATTTCGTCTGATGAAGAGTTGTTGTGATTCGCAAAAATCACACTAGTGCGATTATGTTCAATGTTGAAACTTCTGCATTGATACAGAAGTTGGATTTTTAAGGATTAAACGAGATGTGATATGTTTGCTCTAGTCGGTGCTTTGCAACCTTAAATCTTATATTTCTATCATACAATATAACTTACATTTTATATACAGGTATGCAATAACGGGATCTTACGGCAATCTCTTTCATATATTTGACCGCCACAATGGCTCTGATTGGTTGTATGACCTTGACGACTCAAGCAATCCTTATAACACAAATTCTGCATGTAATACTGGGAATTATTTATCACCTAAACGGTTTATGTCTCCTGATGATCCCATTGGAAGTCGGTTAGGTTTATCTTCAATTTTCGTAGCACCATTGGATGCTGTGGAAGCTCTCTTTCCAGAAACTACAAGTCAAACCAGTTCACATAGCAGCTGTAGTGATAATAATGATTGGAATAAAGTTGACGATAGTTCGAACACCTTAGAGGTATCACCTGGCAGAACGAAGCTATATAACTGTCAACTAGATGATCTCAACCCTCCAGAGAATACTCCCTCAGCACCTCCAACAGGTTCAAAGCGTCGAAAGCAAATCCTTCCTTCTCGTACTAATAATTCTACTGATTCTCATTGTGCTGTACAAAGTGAACACGACAAATCCCGTAGTTGTCACCACAAAAGTAAACATCGTCATCATAACAAGAGTTCTCCACATGACATGGTAGAGAAATGTGGATATGGTGTTAGTTCTTCATGCACAGTACCGAATTCAAATGATGGTCATGAGTTATCAGGTATCATTTTAAATTCACCGCCTGTTAAAAAAACGTCTATCGAAGAATTTCTATCAGGGACATCAACTGTCCCTGGAATGCACCAGATACACTGTCGACATAAAATACTTCACTTATCCTGGCATCCAAAGAAATTCCTTACGGTAGCTGTATCAGGCAATCAGTTGTTTCTTGTTTCAGGTCAGCCAACATTTAGTGATACATTACCTTCACAGAAGGATTCGAGTCATTGCTCTTCTTGTTTATCTAAGTCAACTGACGATGAGAACAACATACCTAGTGAACATTGTGAAGCAAGTTCCACACCTATAAGAGATAAGGTTACTTCTATTTCATCTCAAAGTTCAGATGTGAAAGCTGCTAAACGTCGCCGCCGACGTCACCATCAACTAGATAGTTCAAATCCGGTTAATGCCTTCCCTAACGTAACAGATAGGATAGAAAATCATGTTTCAGATATTGATGTTCTTCCAGATGCCTCTGTGGTGTGTGGAATGGATTATGTAACAAATTACGAAGCGGACCATGAAGATAATTATGATGAGCAACATACCTCTGAAGCGCAACTAGATTCAATAAGCTCTGACCCGAACAATGAAAATGTCCCATGTATAAATTCCTTGTTTCCATCATCGAGAGAAACATTCTCAACTAATGTGAACGACGCTTTACAATGATAATATTTTTCTTACCATTTTGATTGTCTTCCTTACCATGTCTCTTATTTTTGCTTGACTTCATCTCAGGGTTGACATATTTCCACAATCAATTGCTATATCATCAAAACTGTTTTCACAATTGCTGGAGGAGTATCTCATTTATTTTGGGATAAATATACAATAATAGTACATGCATAATTACACACGCACATACACATACACAGGCAGGCAGGGAGACATGCCTTCAGACACAAACAATCTCTTCCCTGTACGAATGCTGACTCCCGATGTCATGTTGCGACACTGTTATTTTAATGTCCTCTATCAATAGAGATTTTTCCTACCCATTTTTCCACTTTACAATATCTACTTGTTCTGAGCTTGATTGTGTTTCATTCGCATAAGATTTGCGTGCCTTTACAGTACAAATTATTGTAATTGAAATCGAAGTATTGTAAATCACTGACTGGAAATGTTTTCCATAGATTGTATTCCATTCCAAAAGTATAACGTGTATTTTTCGTGCATTTCTTATTTAGCATAAATTATAAAACATTAATTTGTTGCTTCTATTGTCTAAATTATTTGCATCACTCAGCTTACAAGTTACAGTTTCATTTCTTCGTCATATTATGGTTTCAGCAATACCTTTGGTATTGTCGACAAATTTGCCTCTCAGCTGATGAGTGTTGAGTGAGTAACTTAAATATTGACGTATTAGTTTATATCGTCTGGTCGTGAAAATGTTGGGTTTTGATCATATTCGTGTTTGGTAAAATTGTAGCATATGCGAAAATATCACACGTTTGAGAAATTGAATGCAGAATACCAATTATTGTCAATTATATCAATCGAAACTGATCGCCACTACAGATCCCATTTCTATGTTTGTTAGAGTTGTATGAATTTTGGACTTGATATGCCATAGTTTTAACACCCAATGTCTTCTGAATAAATTGTTGTGTTGCTATCGTCTTTGCGATTGTGGATGTGTATAGAAGTTCACTAACTAACCATTCGATTTGTTAGTTTTCTGAAGTAGCTTGTAGTGAAATAGTGGGTACACAAACACCTAGTCAAACTTTTGCGCCAACAATTCTCCGGCTGTATAAGCATTGAAATTACCCTATCTATTCTAGATGTAGTTGAACCGAACAGTTTTGAGTGTTAACTGTATGCTCTTGCGCGTTTTTATGAAGTGATTCCAAATTATCGCCACAGGAACGATACGTTTCCTGTCATATTTTCTTTTCTATCAATCCCTAAAATATAATAGGAGGCTAATGTATTGGAATTCAACGAATACAGAGAGCAGTGTGGGGGGGGGGGGTGGAATAGGCTTTTATGAGGCTTACGAACATACTGATTTTTCATGCGTGATTCGACTTCGATTTACTGTGAATGAACTTCTAAGAATGCTATTGATTATCCATTTTGTGAGGAGTGCAAACGCTAATATCATGATAACTCGATCAGTGAACTATATTGAATGAAAATGAAGTTGTTGATGAGATTGAGTATACTTGTCTGTGTGACTACTTTAAACTGAAGAAGTGTAGCGATACATGAGACGTTCAGTTGTATAGTGTGTCAAAAATGAGGTCTGCTTGAAAGATTATTTATAACAGATGGAAGGCAGAACTCGTTAAAGAGGAAATATACAAAACACAATATTTCTAGACGTTCAGCATAGTGAAATCCAATTCACCTGTCTTTATTAATAGATGTTCGTTTCTATTCAATGGTAACAGCTCACTGTTGCTTTATATAATGTATTCTAGGTATTGATCAGACTGTAAATTGTTTTGTGCTAATGATTTTCTACCTATTAGTCTGTACGGCCTTTCAACTAGCGGTTTGCGCCTGTTTATTATCTGATAAACACATAATGCATAAGAATCGCAGTTCGATCTGTATTTATCCAATGAATTCCACTGAATGTGCTTTTATACCTTGAATCCTTCGACTTCAGTGTTTAGAGTAACTTGCGAATCAGATGAATATTTGTAACTCGGTAATTTGAAAAGATAGGATGACTGCATTTTCAGTGTTGACCTTTGCGATAGGTAAAAAATGAGCACCGAAAGGACACAAGCAAACACAAAACACTTTGCAGTCAATAATTTATTTTCAGCATCTCAGGTAGATAAAGAAACTGAACACATAGTGGTGAACTTGTATTTAATGAAATAATTTTAAAGTACTACTACTACAGCAAAATAAATGTCATTAAATGAAACGACAGTGTCTTCCGTTCTATTCTTTGAGTTACATGTAGAATCCTACAAGAGAAGTATACGTTGAGTTGATGACTATTTATAATAATTTGAAGGAATAGAGGTAAACAACACAAAGCATATGCTCAATGAAGTTGATTATTGATGAACTATACAGCTCCACTGTAAATAAAAGAGTTATGACCGATGTAAAGTAGCAAGGACATAAATGTATCATGACTGGTTAGTTACCTACATTACTTCACTCACTGCACAATATATTTACACGAATTCCCCAAATATTGATCAGTAGCCAGCAGTATGTACAGTGATGTATTATGGTTGTTTCTCAATCAATCTCTGCACAGATATGTGCCTTTATAGACAAGTGCGAGCACTGCGAATCCCATGGATTTATGCAGTTCTACGGGGGATCGCACTGAACTCACGTATCTAGATGAATTCTCTCGAGTGTACTGACCACATAACACCAGTGAATATGTGATATTAATAATATACGTCTGGAATCATCATTGTTACAGAACTTGGGTTTCGTTTGAGATGTTAAGTCGCACGCTGACAAAATTGATTGTGACAAGTAATTTTGTTACTCGTGATCGAAATCCCACTGGATGGCTTCCATACAACATACATTTTCACAATATGATATTGACACGTTTACCGGCTTATGGTGACATTTTAAACGACTCACATTAGTAAGAGGGTACTGAGTAAGTGTAAAGATATAAGTGAATGGACGTCAGCTATACTTACCATACTCGTGATCCACCTCTTCTTCCATTGCCTTTAAGACTGCGGTGACCCTTTCCATGGGATTTTTATCTGAACACCATATTAATTAAGAGTATTTCCAAACTTACATCTCAAATAATTAATCCTATTTATTTCGAGGCCTTCCACTTTACTCTTCAACTCGCCTGTGAATTAAATTGAAGTGGTATTCCAGAATAATAAATATCCAACGCACAAATGTTAATCAAAATGAAGCGAATTTGTAACAAATGTGGTATCAGTAAGTTCCTAATATACTTAGTGAGTTAATGGTGTAAAAACGTAGCTGAAAACTGGAAGCTTTGTTCACCAATTTGATGAAACAATCTATTTATCACGCATAATATGGCAATACCAGGGATTTAATTGTCTGAGCAAACTCATTGAAAATAACTATGTGAACACGTTTGTTTCCATGTGGCATATCAATGTTTGAGACTTGTTTGGAAAGATAGAAAGCATTACTGCAGTCACACTAACTTCAGTAGTTATGGCGATACACCATGAGTAGAAGAACGCCTGGAAAGTAGGTCACGAGTTTTGTTTGATTCTCTGTTCCTTGATGGAAACTAAGATGGTATCGTAAGGTTTAGATACAGTTCAGTATAAATGTTGCCATGATTTCAGTACAGTGGAACGACAAGCTCTTACTTCACTTTCAGATGCGCACGTGATTATATTTAGTTTAAAGGAATTAATCATTGGTCTTACCTAGTGAACTGTTGAAATTTTTGTTAATTTTGTCAAATTGATTAGCTTGGGTTTTTGAGTTCGGGGTATCTGTAAAGAATGGGTTATCCGTGACAAGGAGAAGTAGAGACACCAAGCAGAAATACAACACATATAAATGTAACTGACAGACATAAACTGCTTATGAGATACATTGGTATATGAAATGGATAAAATCACACTCTATACAACTACGATAAATAACAGATAATTTGGAAATCTGTTGCTTCCATTTTGTTTCTTCTCATCGCTTGATTCGATGTCTAGAGACGTTCCCGTTCCCTCTGTCATGATTACTTTTAGAATATTGAGCGTCTGGTAGCACTGTATTCCAATGATTGATAGTGAATGGCGCCTCAGGTTGACATTATTCTTTTTACGTATTACGCATATGGAGGACTTGCTTGTCAACTTACCTTTTACTCGCTGTAACTCAAAATATTCTCTTGTCGTTGATATACAGTTTACCTCGGCTTTAGCTATGAACAATGGAAAACGAAATTGCCACAGTCATTTTATATCGGTGAATGTCTGGTTGAAATTGTAATGAGATTAGAGTAACCATAAGATTTCAGTCAATGTAACATGTGTCACCGTCAAATAAGAACCAAGGTATGTAAGCAACACTTATTTGTTAACTCTCAATAAAATTCCTGCTACACTTGCCTCGGTGTATCTTCATCACATCCTCAGAACATTGGAGTGCTTTTTCTTTCAAATAGTAATCAAAACCTGTTTTGAATATCGCAATTAAATACACGAGAGTTTAAAACAGTGGATTTCACTATTGATGAAATTGTTGAGTGATATTGGGAAGATTTGAAATCGAAAACTGTTTGGTCGTTTCCACTTCTATGCAATTCAGAATTTTAGGTGGAATTAAGTGAGAACATGCGAAGTCCGCCTTATTCAACAAAATATCGTAAGAAATGTGAACGTTTCTACACAGTACTACACTACGAAAACGCTGTTTCCAATAGCACGGTCAATGAGCATGTGTTTTGGTAACAAAATTGATTTCGGAGATAAATAAGACTGTGCATGCACTTGCAATTGATTCTTTGGTAAGTGCTCTACGTTTAACAAACGTCTATATGTCTTTCGTCGATTAGAAACATCAAAATGTTTACCTACTAATTGGATAAGTAGTGCCGTACAACCTTGCTTTCCATAACTTCCATAAATGGTGTTTTTCTAATGTAACTTCCAATACCCACTGAATTAGCCATCAGTTAACTCTGTTAAAATGTTTACAGATACACAAGTAACTGATTTAGGCAAGTATTGTTTTTCATCTTATCTGGAGTGCGGTACGGCTCAAACTGATATCAGTCGGTAAGTTATATTTGAGTAAAGACCAAATTCACCAACTCATTACTTTTCAAAAACAAACCTACCCCTGTCTGTAATGTATCGTGATTGACTGTTTTTATCTGAACCAGCCAACCATTGAACTGTATCAAAGAAAACATAGAAGTTAGCACTATAAAATTCCGTATATGCTATTCGAAGAAATTCATATGATACTGCTAGACGTTATTCCGACAGAACATAACATTTCAGAATCATTTATTGAGAACTATGAAATGCACAGGTTTAACAAATGAAAACCCAAATAATCCGAGTCAGAATACAAGTACTGTATAAATGGAATGTCACGATCCTTAAACAGGATACAATGGACTTGTTAATAAAGACACGAAATCCACACTAAAACGTGTTTCAACACATCTTCATTGGTAAATTGTTACACCTATTGAATTCAGGTAATCTTGTAGGTCTATGAATCTCAAGTCAAGTCAGTTAACATTTTTTCGCTTTCTCAAATATGACAACTTGAAAATTCATCACATCATGCAAATAACTTAGATGCGTATTATGAAAATCACGTTCAAAAGTTGACACCATGAGGTTGGTCCCCAAACATGAATGGCTCTACTAGTCATGCGACAGGCAGAATCTGACAGCTGATTGAATGTGAGAAACATTTGCTTACTTGTCATCAAATCTAATTTTGTTCGTGCTCCCCATTTCCAATCGCAATATTTCTTCAGGACTTCACAACCTGTTGACGTGTCAAAGGCACAGGTGAATAAGTAAGTTAACTTGATAGTATTCTCATATAGCTGTTATGTAAGTAATCTTCTCTTCTGTGATCTACCATTTGAACATGATTCCTTAAAGTGAATAGAAGGTATTGTGATGATGTTCACTAAACGGATGGATTCAACTTTTGTTTCCTTAACAAAGAAACTATGAAAACACACGTATGTACGATTTAACCATGTTGATCGACTATTTCTGGGAGATGGCTGCATCCTCAGATCTACAGGCGGCTTCCAAATACTTGCAAGTGCCTATTGACTATGTGAAGAAAGATTAGACATCTTAAACTATTTTAAGGATATTACGTCCAATAGTCATAATCTCAAGTCATTGGAGAAGGTTGTTACTGGTTGAAAGATGACAGACCGATGTGGAGAAATAAATTGTGACCTATCAGCCTAGAGACATACAACCAAGCTATTTAAAGCAAGATTTTCAAACGCAAATATTTCGAATAAAATTCCATTGAACTCACCATATTCTATTTTTTTTTGAATATTGTCATCCCAGTTTCTATCACCTTTTTGCTGCAACATAGTCATACCTGAAATGAACAATTACAGACAGATTTATACAAGGAGTATGTGTAAATCAATTTACTGTGATACAAAATGTCAAGAACATGTGTTAAAAGATTATAGCTGTTTTGAAATTCAGAGATGGAGAAATCAGGGTTAAATCACTCCACATCAGACTGTTACTAATAACTCCTAGCAACCTACTAGATAGTTAATGGGTAGAATAAAGTACAATATTTCATCATTGTTTCAGATTTGCTAATTACGATAGAATATGGTAGTGATGGTTGGAATGTAGTAATTTATTGAAAAATGATCCATAGTGAGTTATGAACACAAAGTGTTTCTGTTGTGTGAAATAAAATTTAAAATTTACGCATCACTCACAGATGTTTGGTACAATGGTTTTGTTCACATCTGTAAGATAAACAAGTGATATTTAACTCGAGGTAGATAATATGTGAAGGCATGTGTACATTTAAAGTTGAGTAAAGTTTATGAAGATAATGTGGTAAACGAAACGGACATTATCAGTTTGATGGAACAACACTATTTGCTTTTCATGAAGTAGAAAATCTATGATCTACCGGTGTTTTCATTTCCTGTTTGTAAATGAAATTGGTTAGTTTATCAAATGGTTTGATTGAAAAGTAAACACATTTTGGATTCAAAGATGTGAGGGATATTTATTTCAATTTATCAAGGCTTACCCATATAAGAATCCATATTCATTCTGAATGTGTCTTCATTTTCCAGTTTCCAAGCTGCTCCAGCAGCTTGAGTGAGTATCAAGAAAAAAGGTTAAGGGGTTGAATAATTTTAACTAAAAATCCTCATATGTCTATTTTATGTTTTTAAACAAGGACTACTTACTCAATATCAACTCTACATACTTCTCTAGACGACCTCTGATTAATCTGAAGGCATCATATTCAGATTGAAGGATGAAACGTCTACATTCTTTGTCAATGATTAACAGCATGCACATAGGTAGCAGGAAACTCCATATACATATGTATGTGCAGTTATTTGCGTTTGTATATTCGGAACTCTGAGAAATGAATGTAGAAATTGTGTTCTCCAACAGTTCAGATTTCTACGAATTCGGAAACGAGATTACAAATAGCCGCATGATCAAACTCATCGATATTGTTCAAAAGAATTCGGAATGTCAGCAAATGTGTGGTATTAAGGCAGACAGTACCAAATGAAGGCCATGTTTTATATCAAAACTAGCCTGCCAGCGATGAGTTGGGAGATTTACAAATGCGCATCAAAGATAGATGAATGTGATAACGTTTCATACTTTGTTTAGGGGTCAAGATTAGCAATGGAGTGAAACTTAGTTTTTGCGTGTCAATGACGAAACGTTGCAACATACCTTTGAGATAATTAAGTGCCCACTTCACTTGGCATTCATCTTCCGACCTGCGAATTACTACACAAACGATTAGGAACGGTAAACAGATGGTCAAATCAAAAGATTTAAATGGGAGAAGTGATGTATGACCTTCTATTTCTTTAAGAATACATTTTTGCCCAATTTTAACATAATACGTAATAACAGTTATTTTGTCATTTAGCTTCGTTAAGTCTGTTGACTAAAACTCTCTGCTTTTTAGTAGATATGGGTTGTTGTTTGTGGGAGCCAGGACATGGGTTTCGTCTTAATATAAACTCTTACTAGTTTACAATCAGTCGTATTTGCAAATTGAAGCACTACCAACCCATTTGATATACAAACACCGTTATTAATTCCTTTCACATACTTTCCTTGATGTTCAGTTTGATATTCGGTAAATACAGTAACAATCTCTTCGACTCCATGTGGAGTTACTGGGTACTGTCAATACAGTAGATATGCAGATAAGATTCTGCTTTATAAGACACTACTAAAACTGAGCAGTTTGTGCTTCTTGTGTAAAAATATATTAACTGAATAAATTCACTTAGTATTGTTTGTTTGAATCTTCCCATTGATGTTTTAGGACTGCAACTGGTCAGTCTCTAATTGGCATATGTATTTTAACTGAATACTTACAGGTATAACTTTCTTCCAGTGTGAGATTTATATCCGATTTCAATGCCATAATGAGAAGTTTATCTAAACAACCGAAAAGACAATATCTGACATTATATTCTCATGTACAACTAACAAGTATTGACTATTTTTAAATACTGCCAATGAAATACTAGTTGGGGTTACAGTTAGTGTAAGTAATATTTACTTACAACGAATCTGAATATTTACTGCATAAAGTTTCCCATATTCCGATATGGCGGCATTTATGTCATCTAAAAGATAATGAAACATGTAGATCATCAATATTGTTCACCATCTGCTCCAAGACTGGTGAGGCAGCTCAAAGGTAAAATGCAAACACTGAATGAGTTTAGAATTGAGTGAACCTTACTCCTTGCAAAAACGGTACTTTCTGTCTGGTGTTTCATCACCAATTGCGATGCATATGCTGGAAAGTAGTCTAACTAACAATTGTAGACAGTCAATGTTCCTGGATAATTTCAATTACAGGTAACATGATAAGACTACACGTTCTCCTTTCATTGTACACTTGACCATATAGAAAGAATATGGTTTATGTATCACGTTAATGTCAATGATGTTAGACGGTATTTCTAATCAAATTGAGAAAAAACACTTTGGAAACAAGCTGAGGTGTGATGGTCCGCAATGAGGAAGCTACATGGATGGAACCACGTTTGTCGCAAACTGGAATTTGTTTCTCAGTAGATATATTCAAGAAAATGTTGGTGCTGTCTGAATGCAACGTATGACAGTTTATCATTTTAGCACTACAGTATGAACAACAGACTTACCTTTTGTAGGAGACTGAGCTTCGCAAATGAGACCACTTACTAAATCATATAAATGAGTTCATAGGTTTAAAAGTTAATATTTACATTGACATGGGAAATAATCAAACGTGCTTCACAATGATCTGGTTTGTGAACATGGTACAAAATCATATCTTCAAATTGACATGGTAACCAGGCCAAGAATTTCCTGTTCGGCTAGTAAATATCTTTCCTTATGTCCTCTTAAACAAGAAGCTAGTATGTAATGTTTCATTGAAAACTGTTCTAAAACTGACCTAACTGTCTGTGGATTCTCGTTGCTCAACAAACTAACGGTTGTCCACTGTTCACAACCAGGCTGGAGGCAATATCCACTTACAACAACAAATTGTTCACACAAATTCTACGTAATTTTGCTTATTATGAAAACAAAGATGACCACAACGTCAAGGTGAACAGAATTTTTGAAACTTCAACACTTTTTACTAGATTATATTCAAATAAATCTTGAAGTGGAATTTAGGACAAAATTGTACGTCTGTATGGACAAGCTGCCAATTAACGAGGAACACTGATCCAGAATGCCTTGTCAACTACCACCAACCGTCAAATAGATTGAGAGAAAGCAATTTTAGTAAATGACTAACACTTGAAGTAACCATAACCCAATACATGTCAAGTGATTGAAGATTACCCACAAATATACTCACGTGAAATCAGTAAAGTGACTCCGTTTATTAGAAGGTTGTATTCCAGCAACATACTACTTCTGAACTCAATTTCTCTGATGAATATGCAGATAACGTTTGTTTATATACCGTTTTGGTGAGAAACCAAATAGAGTGAACTGAAATATTCTCATAAATACTTTCAGTTTGGTTCCAAGACTGCGACTAAGTTCTCATGATATGAAACACTAATGAGAAATGCACTCATGAAATTGAGGTCACTGGACACAGTGCTTATGATGATATTCTTATCACGATGTGATTTTGAAAGTGATGCAACTTTAATTTATTTTACTCATATACATACTACGTTTGTGGTGAGAGAATTTTATTCACAACTCTATCAACTTTCCACTTGATGTAAGTAGATTCTCGTCAATTACAGTTTAGTACAAACTGTACTCATAGAACTAAGGACACTGAACGTGATCGTCCTGTTTGATGAATTCATAAAGTTTTCTCTCAAGAGAATTTCACTTTCAATTGAACCTTTGAATCACATTGTTGGTCAGTTTTTTAAAACACTTCAAATGTACTATATACAGACTGTTAAAGTGTAGTTTTAGATGGGTCGTATTGAAATGGTTATGAGTGGATTGGTGACCAAAACACGGTATCCACATGAACATTAACGAATCAACTGTTGTTTATATAGACATTGATTTCATTTTTTTATGCCAACACTCGTGGACTCACCGCCAACCAATAACAATAATAATTCCACAAACCCGAATTCATCATATCTTGATGCTTCATGGTCAACGTAAAATGTTACCGTTCATTTAACTACCAGTTTGAACACTGGGATAACCGATCCACTACATCGTTATGTTCTTAGAACGAGCGTTACATTATTATATACATGAAATGTATGACCATGAGGCAGCAAAATGATGAATTTCAACGTATGAGTAGTTGAGATTGTCACCGTACAAATGAGAGGTGCAAAATCACAAGTATTTCATAGTAATTCATCAGCACATAGACATAAACCAACTGTAAATGCTTTAACAGAATGAAATAAAATTACCATAACGTAATATGTGTACAAAATAATAAATTTTTTATCTGTCAGTTTCATACCATTGAACATCATTTGCTGACCTTTGTATATCTGACTCTATTTAGATCGGGTGATGAACCAATGAATGGTTGTTATTCAAGTATGCATCTCAGCTACCTCCGTGTGTTTTTATCGACCTTGATCGCGAATAATCGGACTAAATAGGTTAAATATGAGAATAAATTTCTTGAGTACGTATATTTCGTATAATCGTTGATCTGTACAAAAAATCTCAGAGACAGAGCGAGGGAAGCAAAGAGAATAGAACGAAACGAAGGAAAATGACGTGCAGTGGAGTAGGCGAGTGAGTAAACCCTTTTTGATCAAGCGTGACTCTATATTTATTGTCAAAGTAAAATTAGTTACAGACACATGATGAATGGGATCAGTAATTGACACACATACGATCATATAAAACAGTCAGGATTAATAAGCCCATAACTGACAACGTTAGAGTGTGGATTGAGAGGAATGGATAAATCGGTCTGTTCGGAAACTAGAATGGCTTACGTACAGCATAGTATTTGTGAGCGATAATCAATAGGTCATGTTATGTATACTCATAAACCGAAGCGGAAGGACGAAGATCACGCTTCTTAAACGACAATTTTATAGGCAATAGTGGTAATTGTACAAATCATGGGAGTAGATTAAAAATGCAAATAGTAATGAAAAATAACTTCGAAATAAGTTTATTTTAATTATTCCCACAATCAATCTTACCGAGTAGGTATTTGAAGATCACACAGATCGGTTTGCAATCTTGTGCTTGATTTTAAAAGCTACTAATAGTGATAAAATTTCAGTCTACTTTTTGCATATTCGTTAGAAAAGATGAACATATTCTGCTCAACAATCTTGGTTCACCAGACAATCCGATTTCCACTGAAATATATGAATGGGTCAATTAGATTACGGTGCTAAATTCATACATCTACAATAGCTGATATCAGTTCGTGATGAGGACTCTGATAATTCACATATGTGTAGATCATCAAAGTTGGTTCTTTCGTTATCTTCAAGCGTTGGTAACGGAAATTAAATAGAGATGACTGTTCTCCAAAGATTTGAAACAGGGTTTTAATTGTTTCGTCAAAACTGAAGTCTCGTGGGTTCATCGGAAGAATAAATTTACTATAGCGTTCATGTTCTGTCGTCCCAAGTTTTCTTAGAAGTATTCTGACTTTTGAGGCGTCATCCAGTCTGCAGAGATCAATACGGAACAAATCTTCATACTTCTTAAACCAACAGTCAAAAGTAACACCTGCTACACCATCAAAATGCCGATGTTTATACTGCCCATGGTCTAAAGTATAAAGTCAGACAGTGTCCCTGACAGCTTCTGTTCGTAAGTGTCAGATTCCAGTTATATGTATATTCAACAGACTAACTGTAAGTGCGGAAATATAACCGCGATAAGAAGTCGTGATTTTGTAGTGGAAAGCTATTGATCAACTTGTAATCAGAATTTGAAAAGCCGACGACTTTTGTGATAATCGGTAAAGGTCGAAGACTAGAGAGAGAGAGAGAGCCAAGGTGACACAATGATGATGATAATAATGATAATGATAATCAGTGAGTGCTGCATAATTGTTAGATAAGTGAACCGAAAAATATCGAAAAGAACATTAGAAACCAAGAGTGTCACTCTGGACGCATATTTATGATATCAGTGAAAAAAGTTGTCAGTGTTGTGATAGAGGTGGCAATGTTATGTTCAGTTTGCAACAGATTCGCTCAACTGCGTAAATTGATGATTCGCGCGAATGATAACGTTGTCAGATCACCAATTTCATTGGACAGGTTTAAAGTCGTCGAGTATTTGGACAGCCCATTGATGTACCGAGTCATTTGTTAGATAACAGCCACGAGGAAACAATACTTCGTAAAATGAAGTATGACGTCGAAGTTGAATAGCTACAATAGTTCGGATGTGTAATAACGTCACATTGATGTAGCATCGTTCTTACGTATACAGAGAGTTGCAGTGGACATTCGCTTGGGTATTATTCGCGCAACAGTTGTATGTGTAAACCAAACATATACAAAGACTATGGTGGGGTTCGTGGGGAACCTCAGAGGTCGTTTAGATATTTTTCAAACTCGCATTGCGTGTAAACGGAGTTAAAATGACCTCCGTGTAATCAGGAAGTCGAGCCCGATTTGCCGTGTGAGACAACAACAATTACAAAGTGTATAGTTAACATCAATTGAAATGGCAACCACCGATGCAACTAATGTTAGCAAGGTTTATATAACGTGGCTGTTGCAAGCAGCGTATTATATATATCGCTAAGTGACATATTACGCACGACAAAGTGTTTAGATATGACATGAACTGAGATTGCTCGTGTACATGCAATACGTTCTTCCACAGTATGATAACTTACGAGTCACAAGTGTACATGATTCCGACTAAAACCTGACGGCAGTGACAGAATATATGACTACTCTACATGAAAACAACTACAAAATGTTATTGGCATCGTAAACATAGTACAAAATAATCCAATGCAATTATGAAACTCGCCTGGATTACTCTCGTTGCCAAATAATGAAAATTTGAAGTGGATAGAAGTTCGAATCACTACTTCTTCTTGCCGATATTATGAAATTGCATCTGAATACCAAGTACATAGATTCATGCAAAATATCGTTTTTACGTACACATTTTTTACTTAATGGTTCAGTGACCCTACGATTATTGGTGCTTTTACGAAGATTCAAAAAGACTTGTGTTATATCTTAGCGAAGACATAAGTACGGGTAACTCCCAGGACCTATTATTGGACGATTATTCTATATATATATTTCTATTGTATAATAACTAGATTATGTATATCTAAATTCATCTTATTGTAAGCTTCATTTTGACCTATTGATTATCATTATACAATCTACTGTTCCTAAATTATACTCAGCTTATTGATTACTGTCTCTCACGTTCACAGCCACATTTGGCCTGGTCTTGTACAAATATTATTTTCTATTCTATGGTGCAATGTGGTCTGTCTGTCCGATATATAAACTAAGTATGCTTGAAATAATTGATTCGCATAACAGAAGCTGTCATTGGTTTTCTGGACTCAAGTGGAAGGGCTGGGCGGACAAAGGACCAATAAGGACGCTAGATTACTCATACTGATCGAACGTCACTGATTGTCACAGTGTTAATGTCGAAGAATTCGTATTTCCATTGGTGGATAATTCACGTGAATAAAAGCCGGACATAAAAACCAATAACGAATTAGGATAAGTCCTTTGTTTATTTTGTAAAGTCATAACAAATTGGCGACGACCTTGATCAAGCCATAACAACTTGTGTATCTGGCGGTGGTAATTTGCTCTCATTTTCGATACGTTGTTTTCCAGACCTCATAGGTTTTAAGCAAGACTGAGGTTTTGTAGAGCGATTAATTCATGTCAGTCTTATCTCCAGACTTGCGACATGGCATAATATACGCAGTTTTTCAATAGCAAGGGTAAGCAGCTTTAGAAAAAGAGTTGGAATATCTGGATCACCTAATTTGTGAACCGAAAAATATCGAAGAACATTAGAAACCAAGAGTGTAATTTGTAGAGAAAAGATAAAATCCCTACTACTCCATGACCTCTCGAAATCTTAAGGGTATTTAAAACCTTACTAATTTTCAAGTATGTGAACATAGATTTTATTGAGCTACTAGTCATGTACATGACGCGATTTAGGAATTAAAGCGTAGCACATGTTGAAAGCCGTTATAAGGAGCAATTACCAACTAATACTAGCTCAGAAATACAAAACTTTATTATCCTTTACAATAAACGCGTTAAAGCAGCTCAAAATGTTGAAATATCATGCAACCTGCATAATTGCACATTTTTATACGACTTTTAAAATACAGCAAACCTTTTAACTGGTATTTTGTGAATGGTAACGAATTCCTAAATCGCGCGAATCATCAATTTACGAAGTCGAGCGAATCTGTTGC